TGAGTTAAAGTTTGCTTTCTGATGTTTTTATTGTGTCAGATGTTTCAGATTTAGTTTGAAATCATGTGAGCTGTTCAATAACATTTCAAATCTACATGAATGAGTAGCTGCTCTGTGCTTGTGTCCACTAATGTCTTCAGTCGTCCATGATTTAGACTTCTAATCATTTTAAAGCCAAACTTCTGCTGTAAATGTTTCCACATCTGCTTCTTTTATTTCCAGTGTAGTTTGAACATATTTCAGCTCAAACTGTGTGATGATTCTCTCTGTGCTGATATGCATGAGAGGTTTCTGAAAGGGAAGTGAAACAATGTGTGAGTGAATGACTGGTGGAGCAGAAAAAACACCTGACAGAAACTTCTTAACGGAGAAATTCAAATTGTGGTTCGTGTCCTCTAAGCTGATTGGTGTTTCCTAGGTGATACCCGCCCCGCCCTGAAGGTGCTGGGTCCCTCCAACAAGGAGCTGGAGCAGGGGAAGGCCACGCTCATGTGTGTGGCCAACAAGGGCTTCCCCTCAGACTGGAGTCTGTCCTGGAAGACGAGCGACAGCAGTGGCAGCAGCAGCATCAGAGGGGAGGAGAGCAGGACTCCTGGAGTGCTGCAGAATGACGGCCTCTACAGCTGGAGCAGCACCCTGACGCTCACTGCAGACCAGTGGGGAAGGTGGGCTCTGTGACCTGTGAGGCCACCCAGGGCTCCCAGTCTCTGGTCTCAGAGATACTGAGGAGAGACCAGTGTTCCCAGTCCTGATGTCAATCACTGAGTCTTTGATGTTGATTTTCTTCTGTCTCTTTGTTTCTTTGTGTTTGCAGATTTAAAAAATAAACTCATCAAACAGTCATATTTCCATCTCATAATGACAACAATCAGAGCAACAATCTCCTCTAGTTTCATCCTTTGGTGTCTGTTGTAAAGCTGATATTTCAAACTCTTAAAAGAATAAAAACGTACAGAGAAAACATGTTCTTTGACTCTGTGAGTTTAATAAATGCACATTAAAAAATAAAGATTTTGTAACATTTATTAAACCAGACCAAAAGAAAAAACGTCAACAGAACACATCAAGTGTAATGTGCAGTGAAAATGGTTAAATATATTTTTTAATCCACATATTAAATATTTTTCTATAAGCTGTTGAGGTCATGTCAACCATAGATTATCTGTGTGCTCTTCATAATTTCTAGTCTCAAAGTTGTTTTATGATCTACATTTTAATCTGAAAATGTTGAAAAATTATTATAATTGACATTAAAGAGCAGGGTGTCATCTGTATGATTAAACAGAGATCATTTAAATCAAGTTTAAGAGAAGATTTACTGAAGTTTGATTAATGAACTATTTGACAGTGAAACTCTGATGAAGCACCAAAGCAGAGAAGAGTCTAGAAGCTGGTGGTGGCAGAGGTGAAGCAGGTGGAGACTTAGCTGAGGATCTCTAATTGTCAGGATGAGGTGGAGATCAGGAGTCTGAGAGTTAAAGCACACAAAACAGAGGCTGAGTAACTCACAGAAGGCGGCGAGACAATAACTGGACTCAAATAATGACGACAGAATTGAGCTCGACAGTGGACATGATGTTAAGAACAGACTAACAGAACAAACACAGGAATGCAGGCAGATGAGAGACTACAGGTCTGCTTTAATCAACTTATATAGAAGTTAATCTCTTCTGGTGTTCACAGCAAAATGAGAGAAACTCACTTCACTAAACCTCTTAACACAAGAAAAAGACCACGGTCTGTCAGGAGGACGCTTGCTGGTTTTACATCTGACAGAGACAGTCTGTCCTGGAACAAAAGACTGAGTCGGCACTTTTTCTCCCAGTTAATAATAAAGAATATCAGAGTTATTGAAGTTACAGGTTTCATGTTTCATGCTTCATGCACGACATTCACAGTGTTGGTTTTTGCCCAGTTTAGGTATTTGTGTCTTAGTCCTGTTTTTCCTTTGCTTTGTATTTTTCATGCAGTCTCAATGAACGCCTCGCTTTCTGCTAAATTCCATCCTGTTTCCACGTGTCTGATTTTGGGTCCTCTCACTCTCCGCTCCACACAATCTGCTGCTGCAGATCGTGACATTATTTGAATTATTCATTCTTTTTGTTAAAGTCTTTATTAGTTTCACTATTTGACTTGTCCAGGGTGTACCCTGCCCCTGACCTTAAGACAGCTGGAATAGGATGGGATGCATGTATAGTTTCATTATTATTGTCAGATCATCAGCATGTGATAATGTGGATATAATACCAAAATAGTAAAATGCCTTCTTATTTTGCATTTATTTATTACAGTTTTTTCATTTTTGATTTCAGACAACCAAACTGTACGATTAAGAAGAAAGCTGTGTTTCTTTACACTCAGAGGTTTTAGCTCAATCATGATGATACAAACTCTTTTCTTTCAGGATCCAGACTGGATGTCTGGAAATAAATCAATTTTAAATGAGTATTTTAAACAATACTTTGTCCTTCTGTTTTTGTTTTAGCATGCTAAGTATGTAAAAAAAAGTCCTGTTTAGAAGCGGACATGTCACAGTGCTGGATCTGTGACCCAGTGTTTTGTCTGTGTTGTTAATTTATATTCTTTGATTACTTTTATTCATGGTTTTGGTTATCTTTTTTTCTTAAGTTCTTAGTGATCCTAGTTCTCCCTCCCTCAGTGTCCATCTCAAGCCTGTGTATAAGCTCTTGTCTCCATGTTTATTGTTCCCTCTGTTGCACAGGCAGTCATGTCTCCATGTCTCAGTGTCTAGTGTCTGTCTCTGTTTTTGTTCCCCCAGTCACAGTGTCTTTTCTGCATCTACATATTCGTCATGCTTCCTGTTTTCTTCTGATAGTCCTTGTCCTGTGTTCAGTTTTGCTTCCCCTTGGTCTCCTTATGTGTGATTATTTCCATCTGTGCTCTCCTCCTGTGTGTCATTCCCTTGTGTGTTTCCTCTGCCTGTTGTCGTGTTGTCCCATGTGCTGTAAGTTTCTCCATGTTTCTGTCCATCATTCCTAGTTCCATGCTCCTTATTTCCTAGTGTTTCTGTCTCTAGTCCCCCAGAGTCTAGTTCTTATTTTCCATGTTCAAGTTTTGGTTTGTTTTTCGTAAATGTTTATTTTGTGCATTATTTCCCAACAAATAAAGCTGCCTCTTTAAATTTGTTTCCGTGTAAGAATCCTGAATCCAGGAACCTTCATGCTGCCTGCCATACAGCAAACATGACAGGACATTGAATAACAAACATTAGTATACACAGAGCCAGCCAGATGTAGAAGTGTGATGTGTCTCATGTGATGGTGTTTTAACCTGAGTGAGCACTTCATTAAATTATTCACGATATCCATATCCATTTCATCTTTCCAGGATATCAGTGTATTTAAACTTTTAGCGTCCGAGAGCCTGAAAGCTATAAATATTTTACTTTTTACCACTTTGCTTCAGTTTAGTTAATTTTATATCTAAATGTTTACAAATTGCATTTAATTCCTGTTTGAATCATGATATTAAAATGGGAAACAGAGACATTGTCCTGGTAATTTGATGTTTTTGTGTTTCTTTTTAAATTCTTAAATGGTTTTGTCCTGCCTTACCTCTGAGCTACTTTACTCAAATACTCCTGTACAGAAACATGTTATTAATATATGTTGTTTAATCCTGTCATGTCTGGCAGTTTATGCAATCTGAATTATGATCTGAATGCACTGTGGTGCCAAAAACATGTTGCTTTTCCAAGATCAGCTCTATAAGTTCTCTATGGTTCCTCTTGTTTCCTCTGCCTGTTGTCGTGTTGTCCAACAATGTGTCACCAACTGCTGCACCTGTAAGAAAAAACAAAGGGAACAAAAACATACAGCACCTGGAACACAAAGATATAAAAATGCACAGATACATAAATTAACAATCTTTTTGTGGTGTGTGTCATTGTCACAAAAGGTAGACAATAATGAGGGCAGGGAGGTGCAATAATGCCCTCCTGGGTGTCAGAGGCAGTCAGAGATAGATCCAGGAGATCCAGGAGGCCACAGCAGGAGAAGGAGGAAGGCCCCAGATGGGGCACCCAGAGGGTGAGAGTCTCAGAGAACCAGAGGCAACAGGCATCAGTCGGATGTCCTAGCACGAGCCGAGAACAGTGCCCAAGGACCACCTGGCACGACTTTGAAAAGTGGAATGAGAGGCAGAGTCTTCAGCTCAGAGAAGATCAGCTTCCAAGTTGAAGTCATGAATCACAATCACACACAAATCTGTGTTTATTGATACCAAATACAGTTACAATGCATTCATTGTATACTCTGATTACATTGTATAAAGAGTGAAATGCATGTTTATTACTGCTTCTATTAATAGTGTTGCTATGAGTGGTTATGATGCTGTTTAAGGTAAATCTGGAGGAAATCCATCAGTCTCTGCAGCAGTCAGCTCAGCTCTTATTCAGTCTGAGGTAAAATAATATTAAAATGTGTAAACACATCTGTGCTGAGATAACTCTGAACTCTAAACTTATTTGTTCTCTATCATGTAGGAACGTCTGTGAGCAGTAATGTGGTTTTTCTGTAGCTCCTTATTTATTCGTGTTGCTTTAAAATTTAAGACTTAAGATTCAAACTAATAAAATCATTTAAAGATTTCAAAGTTATGCTCTGATAAAGCAATTAACAAAGTGGAGTCTAAGCAATGATGGGAAAGAGGAAACGAATGCTGGATTCAAAAGTTTACTATTTAAATTTCTACAGCAGCTAATTAATAAATACTTAATTTATCTACTGATGTTTTCTGTGTGTTCAAAGTATTTGGTGGTCTTTTAATTTACAGCAATACACTCAATGTTAATGCTGTGTGTGTGTGTGTGTGTGTGTGTGTGTGTGTGTGTGTGTGTGTGTGTGTGTGTGTGTGTGTGTGTGTGTGTGTGTGTGTGTGTCCTCAGTGAACTGTATCAGTCTCTGCAGTATCTTCCAGCTGCAGCAGTCACTTCAGTTTCTGTTCAGTCTGACTGAGGGAGGTTTTTGTACGACTGTTTTTCACTGTGTGAACACATACTGACTAGTAGAGTGAAAACTCTGACAGTAATAAACTGCTGCATCTTCAGCCTGGACTCCACTGATGGTCAGAGTGAAGTCAGAGTTTGATCCACTGCCTGTAAAACGAGCTGGAATCCCTGATTGTCGAGTGCTAGCATAGGTAATGAGCAGTTTAGGAACTCCTCCATCTTTCTGTTGGTACCAGAACATATAGTTGTTGTAATAAACATCCTGACTGGTCCTACACTTGATGCTCACAGTTCCTCCCACAGCAGAGCTCACTGCTCCAGGCTGAGTCACTGTGATCTGTCCTCTGGACTCTGAGGACACAGAGACAAAAACATAAAGCAGCTTCATGGTTTTGTGGGCTTCATTTCAGAGGGACAGATGTTGATAGAGGAGAGGAGTTTGATTCTCTGGACTTTACCTGTGAAGCAGCAGCAGAGGAGAGTCCAGATGAGGACGCAGATCAAAGTCATGTTTTTGATGAGGAGGATTTCTGTGGCTTCTGTTGTGATGAAGGACAGCTGTCAGTCATCCAGTGTTCAACTCTCAGGACTATAAACTCTCCCAGAGCACTGGAGCATGGTGCTGCTGATGCAAAGTGCCTCTCTATGGAAATCATCTGACTCTAACAGGGACTTAGATCAATCAGCTCACATGTTATTGAACATAAGTATTTTAAAGAATGATTAGCGGTTCAACTTAACGAAGATAAAATGGAAGCTCTTGTCTGTTTCCAGGACAGATTTTTGCCAGTGAAATAAAAGGTCTTTGTGTCATTTAATCACATTTAAGTCGTGTGTACGGACTCTTGGGGTACCTCTCGACTCTGCATACATTTAGGATTTTCATGTCAAATCTTTGGTTCTCTCTTTTGTTATTCATTGTTATTCATTTAGTGCCCTGCGATAGACTGGCGACCTGTCCAGGGTGTACCCTGCCTCTCGCCCTTAGACATCTGCGATATGCTCCAGCGCTCCCCGTGACCCTGAAAAAGACAAGCGGAAGTGAATGGATGGATGTTATTCATTTATTTCTTCATTGTAATTCATTATTCACTCATGTATCATCATGGGCGAGCACCAGCTTACGTCATTGAACTTTTTCAGCCATACGTCCACAGCGGGTTAGGCCTGTGATCAGGGTCTGTTTACTCTACGTCATACGAGGCTGAAAACTAAAGGAGACAGAGCTTTTACCAGAGTGACCCCAGACTCTGGAACTCTCTCCCTCTGAGGCTGAGATCAGTGGACGCAGTGGTCTCTCTTAAGAAACAACCAAATGTCATGTTATTAGACTTGAATTTAGTAAACGCTTTTCTTCAATGCTCTGTTATTTACTTTTGTCTGAAGTTGAATGAGTTATTAGCCAGTTTGTCACAATATTGCAGGTGTCCATATTTTATATGGATAGAACTGAAATGAGTAAACAATATGGAAAAATAAAAATCGGGTGTTTTTTTTGAAGATTTTACAAAAGAATGCTTCATATCAGCTATCAGAATTACACAAGGAGTAAATCTACCGAAAAAAAAGGAAAGAGAAAAAAAGGGCGGGGATAGCTCAGTACGTAGTGTGCTTGGCCCATGATCGGAAGGTCAGGCGTTTAAATCCACCAAACAGCCACCTGAGGTACCCCTGAGGTACCCTCTACTAACTGCTCGCCAGGTGCTGGATTGGCGGCTTCCCACTGCTTCACTAATTTAATGGCTTGCAATGGTTCCGGGTCGCTGCTCATGTGGTCGACCGGCCAGTCAGCTGAGCAGTTTTGCATTCTTTTTCTAACTTGAATGCTCTTTTCGTTGTTGTTCTACTCGGTATATTTGTATTCTTTTCCTTCTTCCTTTTCCTCATTTTTGTGATTTTTGGACTTGTTTTCGACACTCGGCATGACCCCAAGGCTCACCTACACCAGGGACTCCCTCATCCAGCTGCAGCTGCAGCCCGGCCTCCGGCTTTCCTCTCCGCTCCTACGGACTACTTTCCCGAGGAAATACTCTGTGGACACTGAAATCAAAAAACTCACAATAACAAGGTAACCAGGAGTAGATCAACGAAGAGTGGGGTGAGAGCCAGACTCAAGAGGGAGACACACAAACAACGAGCGCTCCCGTCCATTATCCTCGCTAATGTGCGGTCTGTCCGCTCCAAGCTGGACGAGCTGCAAGCTGGACGAGCTGCAAGCCTGCGTCAACCACCTGCATGAGTACAGAACTGCCTCCATTCTGGCATTCATAGAATCGTGGTTAAACAACAGCGACGACAACAGCATGCTTCACATTGATGGCTTTTCACCACCCCTTCATCTGGACAGAGACCGCGAACGCATCGGGAAGCAACATGGCGGCGGCGTGTGTCTGTATGTAAACAACAGCTGGTGCTTGTTAGAGTTTGTATTGTTGATTGTCATTTATGCTTAGAAATATTTAACCATATATGCTTAGAAGTATATAATCACTTGTGTAGTGATAGGATGTGTGATCTTTAGCAGGCCCCAAAGGCTTGGAATGCACACCTCCATCTTGGGGGCATGGGAAGAGTTCGCATCTTGTCTTATTGTTTTATGACGGGATTAGCGTAGCTACGTCTGTTCTAGTCTAAGTGCTTTTCTGTTTAGATGAACTGTTGGACTCCCTTACCGGGGGGGTCTAGTCTACCCTCTTCCTGACTAAGGATGTTTGATGCTTTCATGTTATATGACCCTTTTGACCTCACACACACACACACACAGACACAGGCAAGGTACTCTTTGTTTGTATGTAGACGTCATATGTTAATGAACCTATGCATATTCATGTAACCTCAATAAAAGGACAGTGGTATGGAAGGGACGGACGAGAGCAACTGGGGCCAAGCGAAGGAACGGCGTTTGTCCGGTTCTCTCCCGTGCACGAGTACCATGAAGAAGCTTGCCTACTGGTGTTTTGCTTGTGTGTAATTGTGTTGTCTTCAACGTTCCAGCGAGTAGGTTTATACTCTAAAACCTATCAGTGCTCTACAGTCACTGTGAGGGAGAAGCTGTGCACTACAGACATCGAGCTTCTGGCTGTTTCCCTGTACTCCTACTACCTCCCCACAGGATTCCCACAGGTTTCCATCAACCTGGTTTACATCCACCCCAGAGCTGATGCAGCTAAAACCACAAAGTACTTCATCAACACTCTGTACAAACTAGAGTAATTAACTCCGGACTCTCCCAAGTTCATCATGGGTGATTTCAGTCACTGTTCCCCTGACAATTCGCTTAAAGGAGACCAACGGTATGTTAAATGCAGCGCACGTCAGGGGAAGACTCTGGATAAATGCTATGGCTCTGTACCAGATGCATTTAAAGCCCTCCCCGTCCCCCTTCTCGGCTCAGCAGACCACCACACCATCCTGCTGGCCCCCCTAAAAAGGTCACCAAAAACATCAAGCAGTGGGCAGCAGAAAGTATCCTCACCCTACAAGGATGTTTCGAAGCCACTGACTGGGACAGCATTCTTTCTCCCTCGACAGGGAGGTGAAGAGGGCCATAGAAACTGCTAAACTGCAGTATAAAAACACTGTTGAAGAAAAAATTCACCACAGGGGATCTCCGCTCAGTCTGGCAGGGCCTCAAAACCATGGCCTCTGTAAATACTGTGGTCACCACCCCCAGAACCATCCAGGTGGAGGGCAGCAACCCCTCCTCCCTACCTGATGACCTTAACGCTTTCTACAGCAGATTCGAGACGGACCCAGCTTGAGGAGTCCAGATCCTCACTCACACCTGGCAGCTCTGCATTCACCTTCAGGACTGAGGACGTGGTGAGAGCCCTCAGGAGGACCAGGGAGAGGAGCTCACCCGGCCCTGACAACATCAGCAGTTCTGAGGCACTGTGCAGGGCAACTAGGAAGCGTGTTCCGGACTCTATTTCAACACTCAATTGGCAGTCAAACCGTCCCCCAGCTGTGGAAACACTCCACAGTCATCCCCATCTTCAAAAGAAACAACCCAAAGTCTCTGAATGATCTTCGTCCTGTGGCCCTCACCTCCCTTGTGATGAAGGCCATGGAGAAGATCATAAAACAGCACATCGTAAGAGCAACTGACCCCCTGATGGACCCACTCCAGTTTGCTCACCGTGCACGCAGAGGTGTTGATGATGCAAAAATCTTCATCTTGGACTCCATCCACAAACATCTGGAGCTCCCTGACTCCTCCGTCAGACTTCTGTTTGCTGATTTCTCACCAGCGTTCAACACTCTGCAGCCTCATATCCTGGCCACTAAACATTCCTCCCGATTTCACCTGGACGATCAGCTGATCCTGTGGATATTGGACCGTTTGACCAACAGGACTCAGAAAGTTCGGCTCAACAAGTCTCTTTCCGGTCTCTGTTCCACCTGCACTGGGTCCCCCCAGGGCTGTGTGCACTCCCCCAGGGCTGTGTGCTCTCCCCCCTGCTCTTCATCCTCTACACTGATGACTGCAGATCCACACAGCCCAACTGTCACCTGGTTAAATATGCTGACGACAGTTCTCCTGTCACTGCTGTCAGGCCCTCTCAACACCACGGGCTCGCTCTGCAGGAGTTTGTAGAGTGGTGTGACAGCTCCAAACTTGAACTGAACGTGAGCAAAACCAAATAGATGGTGGTGACTTTCTCCAGTAGGCAGAGGGATCTGGCTGCTTCAGTCACCACCACCATCCACGGGAAGCCAGTGGAGGTAGTTGAGGAGTACAAATACCTGGGAACCATCTTTGACAATCTCCTGAAATTCTCTGCCAACACAGAGGAGATTCTCAGGAGGTGCCACCAACGGCTATACCTTCTTAGGAAACTCAACTCCTTTGGAGTCAGCACAGCCATCATGATGACTTTTTATGATGCCTTCCTGGAAAGCATCACGACCTTCTCCATCACCTGCTGGTTCCACTCCCTCAGCCTTCAGAACAGGAACAGACTGCAGCACACGGCAACAGTGTGCTCTAAAATCATTGGCCTGCCTGTCAGAACTCTGGCACAAGTTTTCAGCCAACAGGCCCTTAGACAGGCAGCCAAAATCATCAACGACCCCTCTCACATTCTTCACCCCGGAATTCAATGGCTCCCCTCTGGGCGACGCCTCCACTGCATTTCCTACAGGACTGAGAGGAGGAGGAGAGCCACCTTTGTCCCCAAAGCCACTCTGCTTTTTAACTCCAGCCAATAAGAACATTTCCCACACCCATAAACATAAACTACTCTACACTCTTTTTATACTGCCGACACTTTACTCACTTTTAGTCACTTATAGTTATATATTTACTTATTCAGTCACTTTAATTTAAAACTGTGTACATAATGTATATTCTGTGTATTTATTATCTCACTCTATTGCCTGTTTATGCCCTGTCCTTATCTTCAACGTCATGCTGCTCTGTTGTTTTTTAAATGTATATATATTTCAGTTTATCACTGCAATAATTTCATTTTTTTAGATCAGTTGGTAAAACTGAAAAGGAAGGAGTGAATTATTTTGTCGAGTTTGTTTGTTTCAGAGTCAGAGAGCCGTGTCTCTCTACAGTCAGAGGTTTTTGTACGGCGCCTCAATGAGTTTGTATCACTGTGGTACACGTTCGGTGGAGGAACCAGACTGGAATTTGGAAGTAAGTTTAAAAATAAAGTTATTTCTATGTCCTTTTTTTTTTTTTTTTTTTTTTTTTTTTTAGAAAAAATATAGATCTTGAGTAATGTCCAAGTTATGTTTAGCATTTTTATTTTTTATTTTTTGGGGGTTTGGTTTTGGCAGGCTGAGAAACAAACTGACTTTTAGAAAAGTAAACATAAAAAATTATTTAAATTTGGAAAACAGAAGGTTATGCACTACAATTATTTGCTTTAACTGGTTGAGCCTGTAGGTTTAGTTCAGTCTAACAGAGTCAGTTTTTGTACGGCGCCTCAATGAGTTTGTATCACTGTTTTGGACTTTTGGTGGAGGAACCAGACTGGATGTTGGAAGTAAGTTTATACTGTTGAAAAATAAGATCTTTTATTTGCTTCAATTGTTGACTGTTGGCTGAGAGAAAAACATTTAAAAACTTTTTTTCCCCTGATATATCAAGGAGGCTGACAGAAATTTATGTCTAAATTTGTGTTTGAAACGTTAACCTACTTGCTGTTGATAAAACTGTTCCTTCAGTGATTTTTCTGTATATGATCTTCACGGTAAGTTGTGGATAAACAACATTTACTTGAATAAAAATCCTCAAATGAAATTAAACAGACTAAACTTAGATAGTTTCAGATAAAGGTTAACTGTATAGAAAAAATCTCTGTTTATGAAGTAAATAGTTTGAGTTGTTTTCTAAACGTATTTCCCAGTAATCCTTAAAATCATGAGTGAGTCAGATTTTTGTGAGTTTAACACTCTTTTGTAAAATGTTGCACTTTTTTCCTTCTGTATGTGGTTTGGACATATTTCACTGCTGTTATTTCTGTGCTGAGAGGTTTCTTAAAGGGAAGTGAAACAACGTGTGAGTGACTGTTGGAGCAGAAAAACATCTGACAGAAACTACCTGTTACCCTTTCTCTAAGCTGATTGGTGTCTCCTAGGTGATGTCCGTCCCACCCTGACAGTGCTCGCCCCTTCCAGTAAGGAGCTGGAGCAGGGGAATGCCACGCTCACATGTCTGGCCAACAAGGGCTTTCCCTCAGACTGGAGTCTGTCCTGGATCGTTGACGGCCGCAGATGCAGCGGCATTGGTTGGGAAGTGAGCAGGAGCCCCGGGGCGCTGCAGACAGACAGGCTCTACAGCTGGAGCAGCACCCTGATGCTGCCTGCAGACCAGTGGGAGAAGGTGGGCTCTGTGACCTGTGAGGCCACGAGGGGCTCCGATACTCCACTCTCAGAGACTCTGAGGAGAGACCAGTGTTCCCAGTCCTGAGCTGATTCACTGGGGGCATGATGCTGTTTTTTTTTGTTTTGTTTTGTTTTGTTTTGTTTTGTTTTGTTTCTTTCTTTGTGGGGGGGGGGGGTGTTGTTGCTTTTTTTTTTTTTACTTTGCTACAGCTCTCAGTCTGCAGTCTTTTTCAATCTCAGTCTCTTTATTCTTAAGTTCTTAGTTGCCTGTTTTAACAACTTGTCTCAAGATTTTACAGCAATAAAGATTTTTCAACCAAACATTCCTCGTTATTTCTTCTGTTTGTTATATATGTATAAATATATTAACATGGATTTCAACATTTTTAATGTCAACACATTTTATTAGATAACATTTTCAATCTGGTTACAAACAATTAAGTTGACTAATTAAAATATATAAACCAGTTAAAGAAAAACAGGAAAATGTCAATGAAAAAATATATACTGCATAAATCAACAGGCTGACACAGTAAATCATGTTTGTTTGTAAATAATCTGCATTCATATGTATCGTGTTGATAACAACAATGATGATATTTGTAAATAAAAATATTATATTTATTAATGATGTAATCTTCCTGCACCTGTAATTAGTGGTGCAACGGATCACGGTTGATCTGTAATCCGAGCCGATCCTACTCCACGGTTTGGTACGCACGTGATCCGAAGATTCGAAAAAGAAGAAAGAGTGTGTGTATGGTGTGCGTGGTCAGTCTGTCAAGCGATAGCTACCCATATGGAAAAGATATATATAAATCTTATAAAGTTGGTATCTGTCTTGTGTGAAACTGGGATGAAAGCATACAAGAGTGAAAACAGATATAAGATCCCTATAAATGAACCTTGTATGTTTTGGATACTTCCTAAAACAATATATGAAAGTGGCCACTTTCATGAGTAAATCATATAAGCCTTATGTGATTCACTATATGAAGTAGGCCACATCTGATGCAAGTTTTTTTCTATTTCTTTTCCATATGGGTATGGTCAGCGCTAGCGGTCCAAGTGGAGGAGCAGAGGAGTTTGTGGTATTTAAGCAGCCCTTTGCTGCCCAATCCGACCGGGCTAAAGCTATTTCAGAAGCTATCGGGGTGTTTAGCTGCAGACGGGAGGCCGTATTCCGTTGTGCAAAACAACTAGTCAACGCGTTAGTTGACGCATTGATGCCGTGCAGCCCCACGCACGGTGTGATCTGTGGTAACTAGTTAACGGAGATTTGCCGCGTTAATGCAGTTATGGCATTAACATCATTTTAAGCAGATTTACGCGGACAGCACTTGTTTAAACTATGATGAACGTGCTTGAGCCACGCTATGATATCCCGTTGCGTGTCCACTTCAGTGACAAGATTGTACCCAGGCATGTATGAGCAGGAAAAGTTTAAAGCTATGGCTGAACTGTCCTCTTCTGTTGCCCAACTACAAATGGGTGGACCTCCATGGCAACGGAAAGCTACGTGACCGTGACCGCTCGTTATATCACAGCAGAGTGTTAGATACAAAGCCCTGTACTGCCCTATACTGTACCTTAATTTGTTTTTATATAATTGCGTGGAATGAGTCTTGAGTTGAATTTTTTAATAGGCAAAAAATACTTAAATAAGTTAATAAGTAAATGTTAAATTTTTGTCTTTTTTTCTTTTTTGCTGATCTGAAAATTGATCCGATCCATCACTTAAAACGTGATCAGATCCCAACCGTGAGATTTTTGACCACTACCTGTAATAGACGTGCACATGATGTCTGAAAAATGACCCAGTCCAAAGTTTAAATGTTGAAGGTCACATTGACGTCCAGGTTGTCATAGTTGGACAACCAAATGCCCAGAATTGATCATGGACCGGCGGACTCAACATAGACATGATCATCACGTCTGTCTGACGTTCACTGCTCCCTTTATGGGTCACCAGAGTAGATCATCTTTTTCTGTCCCACCAACTCTCTGCATGTCCTCCTTCATCCATGAACAAACTCTGAGATCGTCCTCTTTTCCTCCTGCCTGGAAGCTTCATATCACCTCAGCTCTCTTAGGTGTAATCATTCTAATCTTTGATGTGCTTAGTTATAATCTTATCCATCCTGGACACTCCTAATGGAAATCTCTGCCACCTCCACCACGGCCTCCCATCTTTGACATTTGGATTCAAACTTTTATCATTTTAGACATTTCTGCTTCTTTGTTCTGATTTGGCAATGATGCCTATCTGTTGCCATGGTTACTGAGCTTAGCAGGGGAAGTGAAACACTGAACAGTTTCTCTCTCTCTTTCTCTACAATGGGTGCTGACCCCCTACAGTGAGGATACAAGGCTACAGTCTTGTGTCCTGTTCCATCCAAAGCAACGGAGAGTGCACACGGCAGGTGAAGAAGAGAGTGCAGTCAGGGTGAAGTGGGTGGAGACGAGTGTCAGGGGTGATTTGTGACAGAAGGAAGACCTGCTGTGATATATGGTTTGGGAACGAGGGCACTGACAAAAAGACAGGAGGCCGAGTTCAAGGTGGCACAGGTGCAGATGTTGAGCTTGTCACTGGGAGTGATCAGGACGAACAAGATGAAAAATGAATACATCAGAGGGACGACACAGCTTCAGAGTCTTGGAGAATCAGTTTCTACTGCTAAATTCTGTTATTTTCTTCTTAACATAACTGCACATTCTCTATATGCTCTTGTAAAGCTGAGGAGCCAAAGAATTTCATTATGGATTAATGTGGCTACACTGTTTATCTGTACATGACAATAAAACCTGAAACTTGAAACTTGACCTTGAACAGCAGTGGGCTGAGGAAACAAACAACCCTGAGGAGCTCCAGGGCTCAGGGTGGTGGTGTTCAGTCTGTTCATGAAATTGTGTTTGTGCTCATTGAACTGTGTCAGTCTCTGCTGCAGCTGGAAGTTACTGCAGTTTCTGTTCAGTCTGACTGAGGGAGGTTTTTGTACGACTGTTTTTCACTGTGTGAACACAGCTTGACTGTTGATCTCATGATAACTCAGACAGTAATAAACTGCTGCATCTTCAGCCTGGACTCCACTGATGGTCAGAGTGAAGTCAGAGTTTGATCCACTGCCTGTAAAACGAGCTGGAATCCCTGATTCTCGAGTGCTAGCAAAGTAAATGAGCAGTTTAGGAACTCCTCCATCTTTCTGTTGGTACCAGGCTAAACACTGGTATTCCATGTCGTCAACATAGTCACTGTAGCCACTATAAACATAAACACTCTGACTGGTCGTACACTTGATGCTCACAGATCCTCCCACAGCAGAGCTCACTGCTCCAGGCTGAGTCACTGTGATCTGTCCTCTGGACTCTGAGGACACAGAGACAAAAACATAAAGCAGCTTCATGGTTTTGTGGGCTTCATTTCAGAGGGACAGATGTTGATAGAGGAGAGGAGTTTGATTCTCTGGACTTTACCTGTGAAGCAGCAGCAGAGGAGAGTCCAGATGAGGACGCAGATCAAAGTCATGTTTTTGATGAGGAGGATTTCTGTGGCTTCTGTTGTGATGAAGGACAGCTGTCAGTCATCCAGTGTTCAACTCTCAGGACTATAAACTCTCCCAGAGCACTGGAGCATGGTGCTGCTGATGCAAAGTGCCTCTCTATGGAAATCATCTGACTCTTATGTTGTGAGTCAGTTTGCTGCATTGACTTGGAACCAGTTGTCCTCTTAGACTGAAGGGTCACTGAAAATGTATTAAAGTTGCTCTAGTTTTGAACTCCAGCTGTTTGAGTTACACCTGAATTCTGCTGCGCCTTTGCTGTGTGCCCTCATATATCGCCCTCCCAAGCTTAACAAGGATTTTATCAAAGAGTTTTAAGGTTTTATGGCTGGAATCGTTCTTAAATTTGACAGTTTTTTAATCCTTGGTGATTTTAACATCCATGTCTGCTGTGACTCTAAACTGTTGGTCAAGGACTTTTTTATTATTATTCGCTCTTTTAACTTGACCCAGTGGGTTACTGGTCCCACGCATGAAAAAGGTCACACACTGGACTTGGTGCTCTCCCACGGGTTGGATGTGTGCATCACGGAAATATCCGAGTTTCGCATCTCCGATCATCTTCCTGTGTTGTTCACTCTAACACTGCGCTGCTCGATGGATAAGCCGTACGTCCCAGCGCGCAAAAAGCGATCGCTTAATGTACTAACAGCGCCCGCTTTTTCTGCTGCCTTTATGGACTCTGGAATAATGACCTCCAACTGTAAAAGTGTTGAGGACCTTTCGGACATTCTTCATTCTACCTGCACTGATATCTTGGACTCTATTGCTCCGCTCAGGACTGTGCGCGCTAAGCATTTATCAGAGCCGTGGTTAAACGAACATACGCGCTCCCTCAGATGTGACTACAGACGCGCTGAAAGGAGATGGAAAAAGGACAGATTGTATGTTTCCCTACAGATTTTAAGGACTCGTCTTTCTGCTTACCAAGAAGCTGTAAAAACTGCAAAGACACAGTTTGTCTCAAACTTAGTGTCAGTAAACAGTCACAGGCCTCAGGTACTTTTTAACGTTCTTAATTGCTTTCTTAGTTTATGTGCTAATTCTGGAGTCACTTCTTCACCAAGTATGTGCGATGATTTTTTAGCATTTTTTAATGACAAGATCCTATCGATTAGGGCCCTTGTCTCGTTGTCTGCTGCCTCAGATCAGAGTCCTTCTCCTGTGTGCTCAGCTGTCTTAGAGCAGTTTGATCCCGTCTCCCTTAAGGACTTGACCGCGGTAGTTAGTAACCTAAGATCATCACACTGCCCCTCTGATTGTCTCCCCCGAGCTTGCTTAAAAGCACTTTTAATACTGTTGGGCCTTTTATCCTGAGATTAATTAATACGTCCCTTGCTGCAGGCTGCGTCCCATCATGCTTTAAACAAGCTGTAGTTCAGCCTCTTCTTAAAAAACAAAACCTGGACCCAACTGTTCTGTCCAACTACAGGCCTATCTCAAAGCTTCCTTTTCTATCTAAAGTCTTGGAGAAAGTGGTCTACCTACAGTTGCAGGCACACCTTGATTTTAATATGATCTCTGAAAAATTTCAATCTGGTTTTAAATCACTACATAGCACTGAGACGGCACTTTTAAGGATTTTTAACGATGTTCTTTTAACTCTGGACTCTGGCAGCCCTGCTGCCCTTTTATTGTTGGACTTGTCAGCAGCTTTTGACACGGTCGACCATGACATCCTGTTATCACGGCTAGAATTTCATGCTGGCCTAAAAGGATCTGCCCTACAGTGGTTTCGGTCCTATTAGTCAGAAAGGTTTTTTCATGTCAATATGGGCCCCCACAACTCCAAAATAGCCCCTCTTAAATACGGTGTACCTCAAGGCTCTATTTTGGGTCCTGCCCTGTTCGCACTCTATTTGTTGCCATTGGGCTCCATCTTCTCGCGGTGCAGCATTTCATTTCATTGTTTTGCTGATGATTTGCAGATTTATCTACCTTTAAAAGCAGGGTCAGACCATCCGCAGCTCTTATTACGCTGCCTTGATGATGTCAAACAGTGGTTGTCATTAAATTTTTTTAAAGCTAAATGAAAATAAAACTGAGGTTGTCATTTTTGGCAACTTTAATCATATCGACAGCACTCTGGGTACCCTCTCCTCGTATTGTAAAACACATGTAAAAAACCTCGGTGTCTACATTGATGGTTCTTTTAAATTGAATAAGCAGGTGAGTGCAGTAGTTCAGTCCTGTTTTTTCCGTTAAGACAGCTAGCCAAGGTAAAGCCATACCTTCCGGCTAACGTCTTTGAGCGTGTTATACACCTTTTTCTTACTTGCAGATTGGACTACTGTAATTCATTGTATTATGGTCTAGATCAGGCCACCATCCATCGTCTTCAGATGGTTCAAAATGCTGCTGCTCGCCTGCTAACTGGTACCAAACGGAGAGAGCATATAACCCCAGTTTTAGCTTCTTTACACTGGCTTCCTGTCTCCTACAGGATCCAATTTAAACTTCTACTTTTTGTTTTGAAGTCACTTAATGCCCGAGCCCATCCTTACCTGTCTGAGCTCCTCTCTGCCTATGCTCCAGGAAAAACCACGAGGTCTAGCTCAAAACTAATATTGTCCATCCCACGGACTAACCTCAAATCCCGTGGTGATAGATCCTTCTCTGTGGCAGGTCCCAGACTTTGGAATAGTCTCCCCTTAAATATTAGATCTGCACAAACACTTGAGCAATTTAAATCTTTACTAAAGACACATTTCTATGCCCTGGCTTTTAACACACTATGACCCAAGCATTTTGGTCTTATTTGAATTAGTTTAGTTATTGTTTTAATTCTTTTACTGTCCTTTTATTGTTTTTTACAGTTATTATTGTATTACATTGTTGCTTTTTAATACCATTTTTATATTGTTAAGCACTTTGTGCAGCATCGGCTCTTTGAAATGTGCTATATAAATAAATTTGACCTTGACCTTGACCTTGACCCCAGCCCGCCGCCTCTCACCAGGGGCAACTCCAGACTGAGACAGAGTCCAGCCCCTCTCCAGGAGACTGGTTCCAGAGCTCAAGCCATGCGTAGAGGTGAGCCTGACTATATCTAGCCAGTACCTCTCAACCTCACGCACTAACTCAGGCTCCTTCCCCACCAGAGAGGTGACATTCCATGTCCCTATTGCCAGTCTTGGCAGCCGGGGGTCAGTCCGCCAGGGCCTCCGCTCGGCACACAATGCACCCGTCCCCTATGGCACCTCCTGAAGGTGGTGGGCCTGCGGGAGGATGGGCCCATGTCTCCTCTTCGGGCTGTGCCCGGCCGGGCCCCATGGACTAAGGCCCGGCCACCAGACGCTCGCCCTCGGGCACCCTCCCTGGGGCTGGCTCCAGGGCGGGGCCCCGATAACCCTATCCCGGGCAGGGTAAACTGTTCCCTCAATGTCCGGGCAGGGTAAACTGTTCCCTCAATGTTCTCTTCATAAGGTTCTTCTAAATCGCTCTTTGTCTGGTCCCTCACCCAGGACCAATTTGCCATGGGAGACCCTACCAGGGGGCAAAAGCACCCAGACAACATAGCCACTGGGATCCCAGGGACACACAAACCCTCCACCATGATAAGGTAGGGATTCACGGAGAGGCAAAAAGAAGATTTCCTGCAAAAATTCATCTCACAAGCTATAACACAGCCAAAATGATCACAAAAGTTAAAAAAGTATGAAAGATGCTTTAAAATGTGAACATCTGTTGATCCTGTTGCAGTCCCTAAATTTATGGCTCAAAGAATGAGAGGATGAGATGAGATGCCACAAGGCTGCTGCTGGTCTTTTAATAAAGCTTTTAATAAAGGGGATGTAGCTCCTCCCAAAAGGACAGACGGAAGCAAAAGGAGGAAGAAAACCGTGAAAAGTTCCAACAGGGCAGATTGTTAAACATCAGGTGTTGTAAAAAGGTTGAATGTGTTCTTATGTCCACATCTAATGTGAGTCGAGCTGTTTGGGTCACGTCAGCAGTCGATGAACCAGCTGCTCTTCATAATTTCTCATCCTGAAGCAGTTCTTTGTCCTGCATTTGATTCTGATCATCACATTAAAACTATATTAATAAAGAGATTCAGTGACATAATTAAAGTACATGGTATCATTTGCATGGAGAACTTTACCAAAAACAGGAGCAGAGAGAAAACAGTCTGTATCTCTTGTTGTCTTACAGTGAATTACTATGATCCCATTTTCATTGCTGACAGTAATGCTAACAATAATTTAAAATAGAACATAAATACTCTCAAATCAGCTGTGTTAATGGAAATATTTATAACTGTCAGTATGTACTGATAAATTAAATTCACATGTAGTAATATATAATATAGAGCATGTACCTAAAACACTTCAGAGACACGTTGCCTGAAGTTTTTGCTTTAAAGATGATTACATGATAATCATAAATATTTGTTTCTGTAGAACTTAAAGCAGGATGAATTAGTCATTAGTCTTTTGAGTTTCTAGCTTTCATAATTCAAAGATCAAATATTTAAATGATTGTTTTCAATCGTTGCTCGTATCGATATTCTCTATTTTACAGATAATTAATTGCAGCAATAACATTTTATTTTGAGCATGAGGAACTGATGAGATTAACATTTATAAAATGTTATTATAACAAAATTAAAAAACTATTTTTAAAATTATCAAAATATTTTATCAATGTAAAATAATATGTGTTTCTGAGCAGCTGTCAGTTCAGATGATCTTTTTTCTCAGTTCCTCTCCAGCTGTGTGAGGTTTTTGTACGGCGTTGTATCACTGTGTGAACGGCCAGCTGTTACACTGCTGACAGTAATAAACTCCTGCATCTTCAGCCTGAACTCTGCTGATAGTCAGAGTGTAGTCAGTCCCAGATCCACTTCCACTGAAACGATCAGAAACTCCAGACTGACGGCTGGTAGCAAGATAAATTAAGAGTTTGGGAGATTCTCCATCCTTTTGAAGGTACCAGTGGAGGCATGAGCTAACACTTGAACTGGCTTTACATCTGACAGAAACAGTCTGTCCAAGAACAACAGACTGAGCTGTAGGAGTCTGAGTCAGGACTTGTTCTCCTGATGAACCTGAAAACATGAAAAAGTGGAGAAAGTTTATTGAGATGATGAACATCCAAACATTCGAGGATCATTTCTCTAACATGGAGAACAGATGGAAGAAGGTCAGTGCTGCTGGTTTCAGAGTTTCTCCATCATAGCAGAACATCATTGTGGTGAACCTGGCTGCATGCTGAAGCAAAGTTTTCACAGAGAAGCTCACCCTGAACAAGGAGCCCCAGGGTGGCCAGCAGTAGAGTCAGTGACATCATCATTGTGCTGCTGGTGTGTGAGTGGCTCTGAAAGGCCTGGACAGCCACTGATCAACACTGGCCTCTTAACAGCTGTGAGCAGAGAGGCAGGACACATATGCAAACACACAGAGTCAGTCAGCTGCAGCTGTCCTCTGCTGAATAATTAAATCATTCATGACATCTAGTGGAGAGATAAATTTGAATTAAAAAAAAAAATCAAATGGAAAATGTGAAATAATTCAAATATGAATTCTAATGCAAATAAATATAGACATGCATGGATTTAAGACGGGCCTTAAGTTTGAACAAAGACAGAGACTCAACAATGTTAAATCAAAAGCTGTAAAATGGACTGGAAAAGTTCATGGAGTCAGGGGCAATCTTTTGAGACAGACTCAGGTTTCTGAACATTTTGCCTTGAACATCCTGTTTTGCTGGTTAAAATTTCTGCAACAAAAGGCAGTTTGCTTGTGTTTGAGATTTAGATCCTACCACATTTCTTTGCCATATTTATGTCTCTTCAGGTTGAATCCTTTCCCCCCTATTGTTATTTTCTATCAATGATTGCAACTTCTTCTGTTTAACAGTCATATATATAAATCATATCCTCCAATGAGCGCGGCCTGTGTGCCAAAATAAATACTATGCTTTTCAGTTCTTCAACGGGGCTTACCACTTTTACCACGTTTGGCTGGACTCCAAACGTGAATTTAAAGTAAAAAATGGGAGTGATCTGTTTACTGTTCATGTTCTGTCACAGCACATAGAAGATTTATTTCTTGCCATTTCACAGTGTGACCTGTGAGGCCACCCAGGGATCCCACACCTCATTATTCAGCTCCACTGTTGCTGTATTTTTTGTTTGTTTCATGCTTTAAGACCATTAAATTTTCCTATTTTTAAACACTTTGTGTTTTAAAAAAAGATCTCTCTCTCTCTGTCTGTCTGTCTCTCTCTCGCTCTCTCTATACATATATATATATGGCAACAAACATCCACGGATACAACAGTAAGATGGCCCCAACCGACCCCGTGCTCAGCAGTGAATACCTCAGGCAGCAGAAACCCAAGAAAGAAGAGGAAGAGGAAGCACCATCATGGAAGGACAGGCCCCTGCACAGTATGTACCACCGACAGAGAGAGGAAGTGGCTGATATCCAGAAATCCTACCAGCAGATGGACAAAGCTGGACTGAAAGACAGCACAGAGGCACTAATCATGGCAGCACAGGAACAAGCTCTGAGCACAAGATCCGTAGAGGCTGGGGTCTATCACACCAGGCAAGACCCCAGGTAGAGGCTGTGTAAAGATGCCCCTGAAACAATCCAGCACATAACAGCAGGGTGCAAGATGCTAGCAGGCAGGGAATACATGGAACGCCATAACCAAGTGGCCGGCATAGTGTACAGGAACACCTGTCCCGAGTATAACCTGGAAGTCCTGAGGTCAAAATGGGAGACGCCCCCAAGGGTGGTGGAGAATGACCGAGCTAAGATCCTGTGGGACTTCCAGATACAGATGGACTTGCTGATGGTTAACCAACCGGACATAGTGGTGGTAGACAAACAGGAGAAGACGGCCGTAGTGATCGATGTAGCGGTTCCGAATGACAGCACCATCAGAAAGAAGAAACATGAGAAGCTCGAGACGAGGGCTCAGAGAAGAGTTTGGGAAGTTGAGGAGAGTGAAGGTAACAGTGGTCCCCGTGGTAATCGGAGCACTGGGTGCAGTGACTCCTAAACTAGGCGAGTGGCTCCAGCAGATCCCAGGAACAACATTAGAGAGCTCTGTCCACAAGAGCACAGTCCTGGGAACAGCTAAGATACTGTGCAGGACCCTCAAGCTGCCAGGCCTCTGGTAGAGGACCCGAGCTTGAAGGATAAACCGGCCGCAGGGGCGAGAGGGGAATTTTTATACATACATACACATATATATATATATATATATATATATATATGTGTGTATGTATGTATAAAAATGGTTCAGAAACCTATTCCCATGAAGCAAGACAAACAGTGATCGATCGGTTTTAACTTGCGCAAGGGAAGCCCCGGTCGGTATCTCAGAAAAGCACTGTGAATCCAACCTCAGATGACTCTGACCCCAGCCTCCACTTGCCGCCTTTTATTGAAAACAGTTACAGTTCACACAAGCACCGCCCATTGTAACCCACCTATGGTTACAAAAGATAAGGCACTGTGTGTATGTGTGTGTGAGTGTGTGTGTGTGCACGTGTAAGCACGTGTGTGTGCACGTGAGTGAGTGTCTTTCTGTGTGCGTGACTTCCTGGTTACAACTGTTTTAACAACATCCTTGGTCATAAAAAAGGTCACCTCCCCCCACCCTATATATGGCTCAGTTCCTGTAATGGTTCACCATACACAAACACAGGTGATGCCATAATGGCAGGAAGTTTACTAAACAAGAACACAGAACCTTCACATATGATGTGCCTGCAGGTAAACACTATAACTAATTGCCTCCCTAACATCTTACATGTATAGGGGAGGAACAGAAGAATGCCTTTGATCATACAGTTTAAGGCAAGGTTTACAAATTTAAGTACAACAATGGCAACATTTAACAATTCACTCTAACAGCAGAGAAATTTGAATTTGTGTGTACAGTATATAATAACTGATTGTTTCATATGTTAAAGTGGGTCCATATTCTGTCATTCATGAAACACACCTGATTTTGTTTGGAAACACAAATTAACACCTTTCTTTAGAATTGTACTCATTAAATATGAAGCGTTCACCATGGATCTCGTAATAGTTTATCTCCACATACTGCTTTGGATCAGGTTTTTCTAAAACTCATGAATCTTCACTGAGGGTCAAAAACAGCTCCAGACTGACTCGCAGTAAAACTGTTAGAAACTCCAGAATGATGATTTGTAACAGATTAAACAAAGTGTTTAGTTACATCTGCAGTTTTCTGAACATAGGGACAATCTATTCTGGAAATTTGTCCATAATCAGAGAACAGTTACACTTTTATTTGGTGACACTACTGGTGGTGAATTATTTCAAAATGTTAAAGACGTCTTATTTCATTAAATGTTTTTACTGTTGATGTGTACTCATTATCTCAAACTGTAAAACAGGATTAATGATTCATCTCAGTGCTTTACTTTTCTGCAGCTGTTTCAGATCAGTTCCTCTTCAGCTGAGAGGTTTTTGTACGATGGTTTTTCACTGTGTGAACGGGAAGCTGTAACCACTTTGTCCACAATAATAAACTCCTGCATCTTCAGCCTGAACTCCACTGATGGTCAGAGTGAAGTCAGTTCCTGACTGACTTCCACTGAAGCGATCAGGAATTCCAGACTGACGGCTGGTTGCATATGAAACAAGCAGTTTAGGAGATTCTGCAGGTTTCTGAAGATACCAGTGCAGGTAGCTACCCATACTTGAACTGGCTTTACATCTGATAGAGACAGTCTGTCCTGGAACAACAGACTGAGCTGTAGGAGTCTGAGTCAGGATGATTTCTGCTGATGAACCTGAAAATATTAATGAGATGAGAAGAGTTATTGAGAAAAATCCATCTTGGAGAAAATTTACTTGAATTTGAAGTGTGGAGTTGGCTGCATGCTGAGGTTTTCACAGAGAGTCTCACCCTGAACAAGGAGCCCCAGGGTGGCCAGCAGTAGAGTCAGTGACATCATCATTGTGCTGCTGGTGTCATGGTCCGCGGCCCGGCGTCCGGGGTGCTGCTGGGATGTCCACGCCCACGAGCGTGGCTGCTAACCCCACACCTGCATCCCATCCCAGGCGATCACCAGGTGGACTATTTAATCCTGCCCTACCTGCTGCTCCACGCCAGTCCGTAGTCGCCTCTCAGCGGTAACGTACGCCTGCGGAAAAGAACTCGTATGACAAACTCTCCATCGGACCTAACACTGTTTTTCTTTCCCTGTGTGCCCAGATCACAACTCGGCGTGTTTTTTTGAGCCACCTGCCTGTCCACCTGTCCGCCTGAGATTCGGTTCACATTCAGCTTCGCCGTCTCGACCCCTTTTGGAGCTCCACCCCCCTCTGGTTCACTCGGCCCGGCTATCACCGTGAGACGCACACTCCACCTTCCCTCGTATGCTGCCTTTTTTCCGCACCCCAGTAATCTGTCTCTCTTTTGTTTTACAGCCTCTCACAGCCCCGCTCTCGGCGTTCCCTGTGCGGTCCCTCGGTTTCGTCTGGTTTCATCCGTTGTTTTTCTGGCTACCCTCACGGGACACCTTTAGTTTCAATAAAAATTACTTTCTTTATTCGCTCATACCCTAGTGTGTGTGTTCTGCTACTGGGTCCTGCCTGCGCTCGGAACTTCGGTTCATGACAGCTGGTGTGTGAGTGGCTCTGAAAGGCCTGGACAGCCACTGATCAACACTGGCCTCTTAACAGCTGTGAGCAGAGAGGCAGGACACATATGCAAACACACAGAGTCAGTCAGCTGCAGCTGTTTCCTTCTCAGTGCTGAAGCCATTTCCACTTTACATTATTACATATTGAGGACATCGAATGTTCTGACAGTTAATTGTAGATTATAAAAAAATGCTTTGCAGTTTCTACTCTGGTCTTTTCACAAGTCATTAGTAACAACAATATGTTTTTTCCAGTTTGACACAGGTGTTTACAATGTGGAGATGTGAATAGAGAAACATACCACATGAAGTGATGCTGAGATCAAAATAGATGATAAACTCCAACCATCAGTCTTGGACATTTGCAAAAGCTGTAAACATGGAAGCCGTGTGAGTTTCTCACAAACAAAAACCTTTGTGAGCTCAGATTTCCTCTGGTTTTTATTGTGATGGCTGTAACTGTAAGTTTTTAGTATTTCTCAGCGTAGATGTGTCTCCACCTGTGAGTAAGATCAGGTGTTGTGAATGAAAACTCCACCTCAGCTCTTAGTGGTGAGATTCAGAAATCAGAATCAGATTGTTCCATCTGTAATCTCAGTTTGATCAAATCAAGTCTTTAACTGACTTTTGAGCAGAATCTGATCCGAAGAAGCTGGAGAAGTTTCATGAAGATTATTGTTTTTGATTCAAGTCTTCACATTTCAAAGATACAGCTGTAAATGATATTTTCCAGAGTGAACCTGAGGTCAAAGTTCACTAAGCATTTTCTCATTCTCTGTCTGACGGCTCCTTTCAAGTTTTGGCAAATCAGATAAAAGGTGAGAAAGTAACAGACTGTGAACAGCAGTCAGTGCAGTTTCTGTTCAGTCTGTTCTGTTTTTCACTGTGTGAACACCCACTGACTGTTAGAACAGTGAAGACAGTAATAAACTGCTGCATCTTCAGCCTGGACTCCACTGATGGTCAGAGTGAAGTCAGAGTTTGATCCACTGCCTGTAAAACGAGCTGGAATCCCTGATTCTAGAGTGTCAGCATAGTTAATGAGATGTTTGGGAACTCCTCCATCTTTTTGTTGGTGTCAGAACTGGTCATGGTCTGCTCTTTGATGAACTCTAATGGGTTTTAGAGGCAGAGGATATTTAGCCTTTTAATGATTTGATTTAAATGTCAAGAAATAGAAGAAAACAAAATCCAATCCCACCTGGATTGTGACACTTTTACTGGTGGAGTGAATTAAATAATACTATTCACAATTAAACCTGGACATATTGGAAAAAAGCAATTAAAAAAAGAATGATTGGAATCTATGTGAAGGACTGATGGAGACTTCTTATCTTTACCTGTTTCCAAGTAATACAAACTTGATGATTTGATGCATGAGAGGGAAGTGAAACAAAGTGAGAGCGAGTGACTGTCAGAGCAGATCAAAAAATTTAAAAAACACCTGACAGAAACTTCTGGAGTCCCAGTGTGCTGCACAAAGACAGTTCATTGAATTCAATGCAAACCTGTGGATGAAGGTGGGCTCTGTGAGGTCACCCAAGGCCTCCTCACACTAGAGTGATTGAGGAGAGACCAGTGTTCCCAGTTGAAGTATTGTTTTACACTCCTGTTTTCAGTCTGCAGTTTCTAACACTGTCACGCTCCAGATTCATCCATAATGTCGATGTAGATGGCTGCTGTAAGACTTTGAAATAATAAATATCTTTCATATGTGCAAAACTTTTGACTTTGTGTACAATAGTAACAGTGGTTAAATTATTAGTTCTAAAGGAAAAATTCAGTCATCACAGGTCATTTTTTATGTTTTAAGGACTGTTTACAAACTTCTCACGTCCACTTTTATTTTATATTCATTCAGATTATTTCCTCATGTTTCTCTCTGAATATTTGAATTTAAAAAAGTCCAAACAATAAAGATACTTTAGTCTTGGTATCAAAGAGCAGGGCATCGCCTTTATAAAGGGATTTGGAAAAACAGCTGCTGTTAATATTTAATAAATCAACTGTGGTCGTGCATATTTCGTTTGAACTCATAATTTTAGTCATGTGTTTTGACATAAAATGTAAACTAGAAATATTTAATTAAAGGCCAGTGATGATTCATTTATGTCTTTAAAAATGCTTTATATTTGACTCTGTACTGAATTATTAAATATCGAATACACTGATGAAAACTTAAAAAAATGTAAAAAAATAATCCCTTTTTTCTCAAAACAGAGCAGGGAAGAGCTGGAAAGTTTTTTTTAAAAAGTATTTGATAAAAATGTTTGAAAAGAGATAAAATTCGATTCAGCAAATATTCAAAATCTAAACTGAAATTATTTCAGTGTTATTTTTGGTAACTTATCTGTTCACATTGTAATATTTCCACAATTAAAAAATGTATATTTTATGGTGTATTGTGTACCTACAGCTGTTGATCAGTTCCTCTTCAGCTGTTTGAGGTTTTTGTACGGCGTTGTATCACTGTGTGAACGGGAAGCTGTTATGCTGCTGACAGTAATAAACTCCTGCATCTTCAGTTTGAACTCCACTGATGATCAGAGTGAAGTCAGTCTGAACTGCTGTTGCCCGAAAACGATCTGGAACTCCAGACTGACGAGCTGTAGTATCCACAATCAGGAGTTTAGGAGCTTTTCCAGATTTCTGAAGGTACCAGTCAATGTCATCACCTATAGATGTACTGGATTTACATCTGATAGAGACAGTCTGTCCTGGAACAACAGACTGAGCTTTGGGAGTCTGAGTCAGGACGATTTCTGCTGATGAACCTGAAAACATGAAAAGAGGTGAAGTTTAGAGAAAGATGATCAAACATTAGAGGATCATTTCTCTAACATGGAGAACAGATGGAAGAAGGTCAGTGCTGCTGGTTCCAGAGTTTCTCCATCAGAGCAGAACATCATTGTGGTGAACCTGGCTGCATGCTGAAGCAAAGTTTTCTTTTTTTTTTTTTTTTTTTTTTTTTTTTAAATGACATCAGAAACAGCAGTATGCGACATTACGTGATGGCAGAGCTTCAGTTCATCCTTTGTCATTTTTTTTTTTTTTTTTTTTTAATAAATAGGACAGGGGGAATGAATGAGAGAAAGAGGGGGAGAGAAAGAAAGAAAACCAAAGGGGAGAAGAGACGGTGAGAAGGGGGGGGAAGAGAGAGAGAAAAAAAAGAACTCCTGGGTCACCTGTATGGAGAAAAAAAACAAACAAACAAAAAAAACAAACAGAGGAGACAGCAAACAACAAAGAGCAACATAATAATAGAGAAAAAAAAGCACCATCACAATAAACTAGCTAGTCATAGATATCAATATTTACTAAATAATAAACGATATTGTGCAGCACGCAAGATAGACAGCGCACAGTGTGCTTTGAGGCAGCAGCCAAGAAAGCTTTAGTCCGTGTCTGTGAATACCCATGTGTGCATACCTGTGTGGATCAGCATGCTTGCATTCCAAAGGTTTCTCCATGTAATGATCTGCTAGGGAGTGTGGGGGGGCCACAGCCCCGTCCTCCAGGGTGTGAAGCGGGTATGGAGGAGATCAAAACTCCAGACATCCAGAGGCCCCCAGAACACAAGAGACCATGGAAGACCCACAGAGGGGCAGCCGCGCCACTGTCCCAGTAAGAGCTGAGGAGAGTCCCAGATGAGGGCTCGCCCAGCAGCCGCGGAGCAGAAGTCAGGGGGAGTTGCAGTGACGCGCCCGTGAGCTCCGCCGGCCCCCAGCTGTGCCTGAGTGACCGAGCCCCAGGCCGAGAGGCCGGGGGCACCCCACCTCCAAAGGGGCCCGAGCGAGCCCAAGGCCCCATGCCCCGACAAGCGGCCGCCAAGGAGTGAGCCGGTGTGTACCCGGACGCCCACCCCCAGACACAAAGAACCACCAACACACCGACACCTGAGGGAGTCCGCCACCGGCAGGGGAAGTGGTGGTGGGTGGAGATAGGCCTCCAAACCTTGGAGGGCCTGAGGTGTCCCCAGAGAGGTGGCGTCTGATACCCAACCTGACATATAGACACAGACATACAGGCACACACAGACACAAACATCCATTCCCACCCTCATGCTCTCATATGCACTCACTCCACACTCAACCAACGTGGAGACAGACATAAAGAGACGCTGTACACACAATCACACTCCCCAAGCGTACTCTACAAACCGGGTCTAGGTACCCTTGCCCCAGGAGGGGGGAATTGCACCCAGACCCAGGTGGTGTTACCCTTTTCCCTGCGGTGGGGAGAGGCAGACCACCCCGACTCCGTAGCAGCAGGGAGGCCCCACACCCCAGACCGCAGTCGGACGGCCAACTCCTCCTATACCACTGCAAATCATTGGTAACACTTGAACTGGCTTTACATCTGACAGAGACAGTCTGTCCTGGAACAACAGACTGAGCTGTAGGAGTCTGAGTCAGGACTTGTTCTCCCGATGAACCTGAAAACATGAAAAAGTGGAGAAAAGTTATCGAGATGATGAACATCCAAACATTAGAGGATCATTTCTCTAACATGGAGAACAGATGGAAGAAGGTCAGTGCTGTTGGTTTCAGAGTTTCTCCATCAGAGCAGAACATCATTGTGGTGAACCTGGCTGCATGCTGAAGCAAAGTTTTCACAGAGAGTCTCACCCTGAACAAGGAGCCCCAGGGTGGCCAGCAGTAGAGTCAGTGACATCATCATTGTGCTGCTGGTGTGTGAGTGGCTCTGAAAGGCCTGGACAGCCACTGATCAACACTGGCCTCTTAACAGCTGTGAGCAGAGAGGCAGGACACATATGCAAACACACAGAGTCAGTCATCTTTCCTCGTCATGTGACACGTTCGTCCTTTAGTTAGTGCAGTGCTTCTTTGTTTTAACTTGCATTTTTATTTATTCAATTTGCATTCACTAATTAAAGATATTTCAGCACACAGGAACATGTATATTTACTTAAATATCCAAATCTCCCCAATGTTTTATCATTTTACGTTTAAAAGGTTAAACTTGACCAATTTTTCTTTTCCAATTTCTTCCATCATTTACTTTCAGAGAGTGTGTGATGACTCATGCTGTGGTAGTCATGAATATAAATAATTATATATTATTATACATATACATAAATGCATTAATTGTTACCTTTCTTGAACATGTATCAGCCCTGATACTACAACCCCACACACCACTGCCAATCCATAACCTAGTAAAGACGTAGTGTCGATCTGCAGGACCAGCACCCCAATACAGCAAGTCTGGATCAGCTCTCTGTTTAAAAAGTTCTCATCTCTGATCCTATCCTGACGTTTAACAAAACTAAATAGAAAAAGGTTATTTTGTCTGTTTTGCTCTTTTAAAGATGACTCTTTCTTTAGTTAATCGATTTTGTGAGCCAAAGATTTCCCAGCTGTTGAATATTAAAAAGCTTTCTCATGCTGTCAGTGTCATATCAATGAATATAAAAAAGCCAAGATTTTACTGAAGAATGCAGAGGAAGATGTAGATCCTTTTCATAAATGAAGACTTAAACGACATCTATTATATTTGTTCTGAGTGATCACTACTGTCATTAAACTTTTCAATCTTGAGTTGAGTGAGCTTTTCCAAGATGACAGGAGGAACTATGTGTCACGGCTGAGCAGCTGGTGTGTTTGTGGAGTGGACCCAAGTGCAACCACAGAAGAAGAGAGAAGTTTAAACAAAAGGCGAGCCCTTTATTTGGCTGGAAAAAACCCCACAGGAATAAAAAACAAGGCAAAGCATACAGGGGGAGTAAACTAAAAGTACAAGCTAAACTGGGAAAAGCTAGACTATGTCAACTATGACAAAGTGATATGAGTATGATTAGTAGGAGCATGCAAGAAACTATGATGAGAAAACATGAACATGGCCTGAACAGAATGATGAAATACGTACTTTTAACCTGACGTGATGTGGGGGACGGAAAACAGACCTAATACCCACAGGAGGTGATCAGGGAAAGTGGAAACACTTGGGAAAACAGCTGACTGGAATACACATAATGATGCCACAGGGAAACAAAACACCATGAACATGGGAATACTCGACTCTTCAAAGTAAAACAGGAAACTTGGAGAGACATAGACATTATAACATATGATAGACTAACACAGAAGACAGGAAAAGACTCACAAACAAGGAGACTTAGGTGGTAACACAACTAGGCTAAACTTCAATTAAACCCTAACTAAGCATAACACCACAAGAACTTCATATATTTTAATATAACCTAAGAAATCAAAAATACTAAATAAACTCAAAACACAGGGTCACAGACTCAGCCCCTGACACTAGGGATCAGTTAATGCTTTAATGAGGATGGAAATTATGTGAAATTATGTGTTTTACAATCATTAGAGCTTAATCTAAATGTCAAGGAGATTTTGGGCCGATGTGTTACAGAGCTCTCCGTCTGCATGATTTGGGAGAAAGGGCCTCATCCCTCCAGTAGAGTTCAAAGTCTTTGAGAATCAGTGCCAAGGAGCACTGAAGATGATCCTTTCAGTGCCAACTAGACACTAGTTTTAAAATGTATATATATATATATATATATTCAGTTTATTGGAGGCAAATATGTCTTTATGTACTTTTCAGTATTTATGGATTTATCACAATTAACCTACACTGTATATCACGTGAAAAATGAAAACAAAAGATATTTGAGAGAATCAAAAAGGTCTCAGTTTATACTGACACATATTAAATCAAGTTTTAAATTCCATTTTAAATTGATGATTTCATTACTGATTGATTTGATATCATCAGAGGAAGAAGTCCCATTTTCAAAACTCATATATTCAAAAATAAAAATATATCTTCTTTAAATGTTTAGCACTGCAATAATTTCATTTTTTAGATCAGTTGGTAAAACTGAAAAGGAAGGAGTGAATGATTTTGTTGAGTTTGTTTGTCTCAGAGTCAGAGAGCCGTGTCTCTCTACAGTCAGAGGTTTTTGTACGGCGCCTCAATGAGTTTGTATCACTGTGGTACACGTTCGGTGGAGGAACCAGACTGGAATTTGGAAGTAAGTTAAACTTAGAGCTTTTTTAAATATATTTTTTCATTCCTTTCATTTCCTTTAATATTCAGCATACTAGGGAAAAAGCTATATTAACGAATCATTACTTCATGATTTCATAATATTTACTGGCCTATGAACAAAGTTTGCTTTTAAAACGCATATTCAAAAACTCATAACATTTTCTAATGAAAGCCTAGGATGTTTCATAGTATTAATTATTATTTCTAGTTCTGATGATAAAGTTGTATTTTGAGGGCTTGTAGGTTTAGTTCAGTCTGACAGAGTCAGAGAGCCGTGTCTCTCTACAGTCAGAGGTTTTTGTACGGCGCCTCAATGAGTTTGTATCACTGTGGTGGACTTTTGGTGGAGGAACCAGACTGGATGTTGGAAGTAAGTTAATTAAACTGTGTTTATTATTAAATGTTTTATCATTTTCTTTTATAACTACTTGTTAGACTGCTTAGATGAGAGAAAAGTATTTTTTTAAAATAATTTAGTGTTTGATGTTTGTCCTTTTTACTGGACTAATTCAGATGAGCTCTGCGAGTTTCTCTTGTTTAATCTACATTTCTGTCACAGTAAAATATTTGTAGACAAGAGTAAACTTCATCATCTTATGATTAGTTTGTAAATTTCCACCACATCAGCTGCTGTTTGAATGAGTTAAAGTTTGCTTTCTGATGTTTTTATCGTGTCAGATGTTTCAGATTTAGTTTGAAATCATGTGAGCTGTTCAATAACATTTCAAATCTACATGAATGAGTAGCTGCTCTGTGCTTGTGTCCACTAATGTCTTCAGTCGTCCATGATTTAGACTTCTAATCATTTTAAAGCCAAACTTCTGCTGTAAATGTTTCCACATCTTCTTTTATTTCCAGTGTAGTTTGAACATATTTCAGGTCAAACTGTGTGATGATTCTCTCTGTGCTGATATGCATGAGAGGTTTCTGAAAGGGAAGTGAAACAATGTGTGAGTGAATGACTGGTGGAGCAGAAAAAACACCTGACAGAAACTTCTTAACGGAGAAATTCAAATTGTGGTTCGTGTCCTCTAAGCTGATTGGTGTTTCCTAGGTGATACCCGCCCCGCCCTGAAGGTGCTGGGTCCCTCCAACAAGGAGCTGGAGCAGGGGAAGGCCACGCTCATGTGTGTGGCCAACAAGGGCTTCCCCTCAGACTGGAGTCTGTCCTGGAAGACGAGCGACAGCAGTGGCAGCAGCAGCATCAGAGGGGAGGAGAGCAGGACTCCTGGAGTGCTGCAGAATGACGGCCTCTACAGCTGGAGCAGCACCCTGACGCTCACTGCAGACCAGTGGGGGAAGGTGGGCTCTGTGACCTGTGAGGCCACCCAGGGCTCCCACACTCCGGTCTCAGAGATACTGAGGAGAGACCAGTGTTCCCAGTCCTGATGTCAATCACTGAGTCTTTCATGCTGTTTTTCTTCTGTCTCTTTGTTTCTTTGTGTTTCCAGATTTAAAAAATAAACTCATCAAACAGTCATGTTTCCATCTCATAATGACAACAATCAGAGCAACAATCTCCTCTAGTTTCATCCTTTTGTGTCTGTTGTAAAGCTGATATTTCAAACTCTTAAAAGAATAAAAACGTACCGAGAAAACATGTTCTTTGACTCTGTGAGTTTAATAAATGCACATTAAAAAATTAAGATTTTGTAATATTTATTAAACCAGACCAAAATAAAAATGCAAACAGACACATCAAGTGTAATGTGCAGTGAAAATGGTTAAATATATTTTTTAATCCACATATTAAATATTTCTCTATAAGATGTTGAGGTCATGTCAACCATAGATTATCTGTGTGCTCTTCATAATTTCTAGTCTCAAAGTTGTTTTATGATCTACATTTTAATCTGATCTAAAACCTAATAAGTAAAATTAAAGAGCAGGGTGTCATCTGTATGTTTAAACAGAGATCATTAAAAAAAAAGTATAATTGAAGATTTATTAAATTTTGATTAATGAACTATTTGGCAGTGAAACTCTGATGAAGCAACAAAGCAGAGAAGAGTCTAGAAGCTGGTGGTGGCAGAGGTGAAGCAGGTGGAGACTTAGCTGAGGATCTCTAATTGTCAGGATGAGGTGGAGATCAGGAGTCTGAGAGTTAAAGCACACAAAACAGAGGCTGAGTAACTCACAGAAGGCGGCGAGACAATAACTGGACTCAAATAATGACGACAGAATTGAGCTTGAAGTGGACATGATGTTAAGAACAGACTAACAGAACAAACACAGGAATGCAGGCAGATGAGAGACTACAGGTCTGCTTTAATCAACTTATATAGAAGTTAATCTCTTCTAGTGTTCACAGCAAAATGAGAGAAACTCACTTCACTAAACCTCTTAACACAAGAAAAAGACCACGGTCTGTCAGGAGGATGATCACATCTTATTTTCATTGGTTTCAGATTTAGGTAGGACTTTATATTAATGTCACACTTTTAAGCATTAGTAAGATATTATTTTAAAGAGAAACTTTTTAGTTCTTTGTTCTGTCTACATTAATACTTTGGAAATGGACTAAATAACTTTAGGTTTTTACAACAGTAACAGTGATTCGTTTGTGCTGGAAATATCCAAATGAGACTAAATCTTCACTGAACACATCCCCTACAAACACTGTTATAACAGCCTGCTTGATTTGTTAATCAGCAGAATATCAGAATATTATAGACACTAGTTGTGATGTGACTACAATGATTTTCTGGATTTGTGTGATGAAGGACTGCAGCTGAGCTCCACAGAAGGATCAGTTTAATATTT